ACTTGGTACCCAACAAACCGCTCCATGCCTTCTGGGTACAAACATGGAGACACTCCGGCAAAGGCCATGGTGCGAGGCACCATTTCGTATCTCGAATCCCAGGGGCTGCCGGTGAACAAGTCTGCCATCTTCCGCCACTTTGACTTGTCCCGGTCTCAGGGCTATGCGGCCCTCCATGCGTCGCCAACGCCCAAGAGCGACGACCCGGAATGGGGCGAGACGCGAGGGCGGCCCAGCAAGATTGCCGACTCGGACCTGCAGAAGATGGAGCAGATCCTGTGGGACGAAAAGTACGAGGATGTGAGCCTCAACTGGAGCGGCCTGGCCAAGGCGGCCGGCCTGGAGATGAACTGCAACCGGCGGACGCTGCACCGGGCCATGGGGACGCTGGGCTATCGCCGGTGCCTCGTCTGTGGGCGGATTCACACGCACAAGCGGCATCGGGAGAAGCGCTGCGACTTTGCCAGAAAGGCCCTGCGGACGTATCCCGTCAAGGAGGACTGGCGCCGCGTGCGGTTCAGCGGCGAGCTGCACTTTGGCTTTGGGCTCGACGGCAAGATGCGGCTGGCGCCGAGGAGCGGCGAGAAGCTGTGCAGCGGGTGCGAGCAGGAGCCGGGCAACGTGTGGCCGCGGGACGTCAGGCGATTGCACGCGTGGGCGGCGGTGGGCTACGGCTTCAAGAGCGAGCTGGTGTTTTACGACTCGTCCACCAGCCCCAAGGGAAACGGCGCCATGTCCATGGCCGACTACTGCGACAAGGTGCTCGACAAGGTGGTCAAGCCGTGGCTCACGGCTTCGGGGCCCCAGTCGTTTGTGCTGGAGGAGGACGCTGACGTGTTTGCCCACGGGAGCGCGAGCAAGATCAACCTCGCCCAGCAGTGGAAGGACACGCACGGGCTGCGGTGCTCGTTTAGCTGTGGCGAGAGCCCCGACCTGAGCCCGCTGGATTCCCTGTGGCCGCCGAACAAGCAGTGGACGTCGGAGCTGCTCAAGGACTGGGAGGACGAGACGCTGAAGCAGGCGGCTAGGGAGGCGTGGGCGGGGTTGGGCCAGGAGAGGGTGAATATGTGGGTGGATGCGATGCCGCAGAGGTTGCAGATGGTGGTGGAACTGGATGGCCGGATGGTGTCGTGGTGAGGGACGTTCGGATCGTGCTCGGAACTTGAGCTTTGTGGTTCCCGGGCTGAGCTCGGAGTGGTGGGCCTTTTTTTTTTTCCTATACGGATATTTGAAGCGTTCTTTGTAGTGATTTCCTTGGCTTGGACTGATTCACGTTGTTTACTTGGCGCGGCGTACGGGGCTAGTATAAATGTCTAGCAGGATTTCATGATGGTATGAAGCATGGAGCATGGGATGAGGATACGCATTACGGGTATGATGATCGAAATAGGGGTTATACATGAGGAGTTGAGGAGAATAATATCATTCAAGGTTAACCCTTTCTATCTAGAGGTAATAGTTTGAGCACTACATCTTCTTGTGAAGTTACTAGCACGTCCACCATCTAAGTATTGAGTAGTATCGAAGTAATAGGTATGAAGTACATCTCGGTGAATTTCGGTGCATCTAGCTACATCGCGCTACATCTCGGTGTATTTCGGTACCTCTTGGATTTTATCAGATATAATCAACATTTGTCGAGGCTACCACACAGCCTCGAGTTGATAGTATATCAAATATCAGCAGTATTGGTCAGACTGCATACCTAGGTAGCCTCGGCACACCTTTTCTTCTGGGCAAACAGATCAAGAGAGAGACTCGGCTACGTGCTAGATACTAGATTGGGCAGCAACATACGACGTGGTGGCATTCAAGAGCCTAATCCAGAGCACCTGATGCCATCTTTCGTGCCTGTATCGACTACTACATACTACAGAGTTATCAGCAACTGGTTCGCTAACACACACACACAACGAAGCCATCCATGGACAACACGGTACGAAGAACAAACAAACACTCGCCAACTTACACTGTACACTTTGAGGGTTATCAATCGGCAAATCCCACCAATGACAACAGCCATAATTACTAAGCCCGACAGGGGGGCGGCCAAAAAAACACGTGGGGTTTTTTTTTTGTGTTGCGGCGAATCGGGGTGCCCCACGCCCAGATCGACGGGCAAGGGAGAGGGAAAGGGGGGACCCTGGCAATGGGCTGGATTTCTGTGGCCCCTCAACAAAATTCCCAACAGATGTGGGGGAGAGACAGACAAGTCGAGTGTTACGGTGGTACTTGCTCGGGATGTTTTTGTGTGTTTTTTTGTTTTCTGTGTGGCATGTTGATGGGTAGATGGTTGCAGGTTTACATGGTTGGTTGGCTGTGGTTTTGCAGTGAATGCTGGATGCTGGATGGGAGGCAGCTGGGGAATCACTTGTGAGAAGAATTATGCCATGATAAGAGGCAAAATGAACAGTACATGTACCTACATACACGGGATTTAATCCCCAGAGAGACATACACAAGTACAGGTACCTTATACATCAGGTAGCAAGAAAATTGCCTCGCCGCCTGTGTTTGCCTGTCTGTACTCGAACCGAGTTCTACGGCCCAATGGAACATGGCAGCGAGTCGGGAAGAGAGAGAAGAAAAACAAAAACAATAACCTGCTCATGAACGAACCTGCTCATCTCTCTCCCTCCCTGCTCCATGCAAAGAGCCATCAACATATTTGCCCTCTTTTTTTTTTTTTTTTTTTTTGTTGGACTCAATGATCTGATCTCGTTGCGTGACACCAAGAATGACACCAGACGGCACTGTGAGATGCCGAAGCGGGCCAGGGCGGGCAGCAGCCATGAGGAGAGACGTTGAACAGCGGAGAGCGGGAGGGGGGGTGAATACGCTCGAGATTTCACATGTTCCGAGGCTTGGGATTTTTTTTTTTTTTTTTTTTTTTTTTTTTTTTTAAGCGTTTTACAGGGACGAAGGGAAAAGCTGGGGTGTGGTAGAGTACAGTAAGCCTAATGTGATGCGGTGCGAACTCTTTGCATGAAGCACGCTGGGATCGGGGAGAGCAGCAGTTCTCAGCATCGAGTATTAGACGGGATTACCTACTAACTATAGTTGGTATGAGTACAGTAACTACAGTAACTGCATGGAGCAGCAGCCATGACACGCGAATCGGGCGTAGAGCCAGTAGCATTGAGTCGATTTTACTCCAGCAAAGAAAGCACACCATCAACTTTGGCGCCCTCCAGCCCAGAAATCGAAACTCGGCTTCACATGTTTCTTGCCGCTATCTGAGCTGCGTTCTTGGTTGATGATCGCCCATCTTGTTTTAGGCTCCTTCAGCCCAGTCCCCAGCCGAGCCCAGCCCCCCGGCACGTCCGCACCCCTCATGCAGGGATTTTGTTCGCTTTTTTTTTTTCTGTCTTTGCTCTTGCTTTTGCCTTTGCGGCGAACGGCGGCGCACTACGTGGTCTCTTCGGGAGCGAGTGTGTAGCAATATTGGCGTAGATACAGTAGATCCGTGTGGGCATTGGGTTTATCTCCGTGCGGAGGATCTGGGGGGGTTCGTGTCTGTGTATCAGGCTATGCGGGAGGGAATACGATGTAGCTACAGCACGACGCCTCTACTGGACCCGTGCATTACAGATGTGCCCTGTTGAAAAAGACGACGTGAGCATACAATACAATGAATGCAGCTGTCTCTTTGGGAGGGACTTCTTTTGAGTCAGCCAAGAGCGCCATGTTGAGAGGTGAATCGGACATGGCTTATCTTAGTCGCCCGGACAGATTCTTTTTTTTTTTTCATGTGACGGTAACGGCGACGCCGCCAGAGATGCTTGCACGAATAATGTCTTATGGCAAAAAAAAGGCTACAATGCGGTAAAAAAAAAAAAAAGTGATGCGACACGTCTATCAGCAGAGCCGAGTGCTTGGGTTTCACGGTGGCATGTCTTTTTTTTTTTTAATTCCCTGTTTCGTCGGCAGAACAAGATACGGAGAAGAGAGGAGTGCATGTACTCGTACCGCTACCAGCCAAACCAGGGACATCCATCTGTCCAGGGTCCAGTTATATTCCTTTTGGGCCCAGATCTGGCGTTAAGCTCGCCTCCAATTGGCACAGATTTTTCATCTCCTCTTTAATTTTTTTCCCCAGGGGCTCAATGTCAATCAGGGTCTCTTTTTGCTGTGCCTGTTTTGAAAACACGAAACGACTCAATCGAAGAGGAAAAGGCCGAAAAATAGCAGCAGAGTAGAACAAGAAGAACATGAACATGCAGTGCAAAGATAGAATTGAACCAAATCCATCCAATGGACATTGATACCTGTACTATTAGTACTAAGGTAGTAGTACCTGTACATGCCTACATGTCCCCAGTACGAGTGCCTGTCATCTTTTGGCCCCAAAAGCCCCACGCCCTGGCGGTTCTGGAGCCCTTTTTTTTTTCTCCTGCTCCTCCTCCCGCCCCAACAAAAATTCATCTCCCAGCTGCCATGCCATTGCATCTGCTTCTGCATGTACCGGGCTAGTGGGGGTGGCCGGCAAAGTCACTGTCGCGGTGGTTTTTGCGTGGGCTGGACTTGGGCTTGAGCCTGGGCTTGGGCTTGGGCTGCTGCTGCTGTGAGTGTGTGTGAGTGTGAGTGACTTGGGCTCTTTTTCTTCTTCTTTTTTTCTTCTTCTTTTTTTCGTTAATCCCGACTTGCCTTGCATTCCTCGTTTGGCCCTTGAAGCGAGCCTATCCAATCACTTCCGGATCGGTTGCAGGTCCCCTATCCATCCATCTATCCATCCATTCTCCTCGTTTGCCCCTCGCCTCTGCCTCTGCCTCTGCCTCCCCAGGACAGAACAAAAACCCGAGGCCACCCCCCCTAGTTCGCCATCTTCTCCCGTTCAACCACACGCCTGTCCCATCTTATCTGATAGCGAGCTGTGCTCTCATCACTTTTTCTTTTTATTTCTTCTTCTTCTTCTTCATCCTCTTTCTTCCCCTCAACTCCTCCTCGCTGCTTCGAGTCTCTGAGAGATCTTGAGCAACTTGTCATAAGAGAGCATCGCCATGGCTTCAACCGCTGTGCCCCTGCCTGTAAAGGCCTCTCTCCGGCGCAACATGACCGACTCGACCGAGTCCTCTGCTGCCGTGTCCCCCATGGACTCCCCCAGACCGTCGGCTTCGTCCACGTCTCTGTCGTCCCTGTCCTCGGTCGACGTTGCCGGTGTCAAGGCCGCCGACTACGGCCGCCTGGTCGACACCTACGGCAACGAGTTCAAGGTGCCCGACTTCACCATCAAGGACATCCGCGACGCCATCCCCAAGCACTGCTTCAAGCGCTCCGCCCTCAAGGGATACTCGTACATCATCCGCGACATCGTCTGCCTGGCCACCACCTTCTACGTCTTCCACAACTACGTGACCCCTGACAACATCCCCTCAACCCCCGTCCGCGGTGCTCTCTGGGCCGTCTACACCATCCTGCAGGGCCTCTTCGGCACCGGCCTCTGGGTCATTGCCCACGAGTGCGGCCACGGCGCCTTCTCCGACTCCAGCCTCGTCAACAACGTCACCGGCTGGTTCCTCCACTCCGCCCTGCTGGTCCCCTACTTCAGCTGGAAAATCTCCCACCACAAGCACCACGCCTCCACCGGCAACATGGAGCGCGACATGGTCTTCCTCCCCCGCACTCGCGAGCAGCACGCCACTCGCATCGGCAAGATGGTCCACGAGCTGTCCGAGCTGACCGAGGAGACGCCCGCCTACACTCTCTTCATGCTGGTCATGCAGCAGCTCGTCGGCTGGCCCAACTACCTGCTCACCAACATCACCGGCCACAACTTCCACGAGCGCCAGCGCGAGGGCCGTGGCAAGGGCAAGCACAACGGCATCGGCGGCGGCGTCAACCACTTCGACCCGTCCAGCCCCCTGTACGAGGCCAAGGACGCCAAGTACATCCTCATCAGCGACGTTGGCCTGATCATCGCCTTCAGCGCCCTCTACTACCTCGGCAACACCTTTGGCTGGCTCAACTTGGCCATCTGGTACGGCGTCCCGTACCTCTGGGTCAACCACTGGCTCGGTGAGTTGTCGCATCTTTTTCCATGTCTGAAACGGTGGCAAGAAATACTGACCTCTCTCGTCTCTCCCGCAGTTGCCATCACCTTCCTGCAGCACACCGACCCCTCGCTGCCTCACTACACTGCCGAGGAGTGGAACTTTGTCCGTGGCGCTGCCGCCACCATCGATCGTGAGATGGGCTTCATCGGCCGTCACCTGCTGCACGGCATCATCGAGACCCACGTCCTGCACCACTACGTGGCCACGATCCCCTTTTACAACGCCGACGAGGCCACCGATGCCATCCGCCCCGTCATGGGCGAGCACTACCGCTCCGACGTCAAGGACGGCGCCATTGGCTTCATCCGTGCCATGTGGACCAGCGCTCGCATGTGCCACTGGGTCGAGCCCAGCGCCGAGGCCAAGGGCCCTGGAAAGGGCGTCTTGTTCTTCCGCAACCGCAACGGTCTGGGAACCAAGCCCACGGCCATGCCCAAGCCCGAGTAAGATTTGGGCGGCATGAAGAGTAAAAGAGAGTGTTAGAATCTTGCGTGTTTGCGATTGTGCGTGCGAATGGTCAACTGCAGCAAAAGGTAGATTTTTTTTTTTTTGTTTCTTATGGCTGGCTTAAAATGATTTCTTTTTTATCGGCCCAATGGAAAACCACGCGTCGCGGAGCTCGATGTGTCGCGCGAGCCATCATCTCTGCGGAGAGTCCTGAGACTTGGTCAAGCCAGTCAGATATGAAAAAGGAAAAGAAAAGAGATGATAGAGAGCTAGATGTACATGAAAGGATACCAATAGAGACAACCTACAAGCCACTTTTATTTCGTCTCTTGTGTTCGAATCTTGTCGTATTGCTGTAGCTGTTCCTGTCATGACTGAGGATATGTGTCCAGCGACCGACTGGAATGTAGATTTGAGATATGAAGACACGCGAGGTCCGTTGACGATGCGGGGATGCCGTGCTTTTAGGATCTGACCCCACAGTCGCTGTGCCGGGTCCGGTCATGCCGGCAATTTTTTGGGTGGTGATTCGGTGATGATGTGGCTGTGCGTGATTCGACATGGGTTTGTCGATCGAGTTGGGGTTTATGACTGGTGGATGATGTAGGGTGTTTGAGCGCATGTGTTGTGTATAGAGCATGCGATGGTAAAGTCTTTGTGTGTGTGTACACCAGTTGAGGTGATTTCTGGATAAATTCGAGAGTGTGTAAATGGGATCGTGAGGTTGAGATTAACTGACTAGGATGCAAGAATGTCGTGTGTTTAAAGGTGTCGTCGAGGTGCAATGTAGGGATGTAGTTTGCAGATCAAGGTTATTTTTTTTAGCTGCAAAGTTTATTGCCCGGGCCGCTTCATTTCTTTTTTTCTCTTTGCATTCCATCCTATTGTGTGATTTGATGGAGGTTATAGAGGTTCTCTTCTCTGACCATTGCGTTTTGGTATGAGCAATCATGCTCTCCTCGTGTGTCGCCTTGATACCTGCCTACAGAAAGAGTGACAGGTGATGAGTTGCGTTTGTAACAGAAGGCGGCGGCCCCTTCAATGGTCTTCAACTTGATAGCTATTATCAAGATGGAGGTTCGTCGAGTAAAGACTCTGCTGGGGGCTTACATGGATGACTACGCAGATCCAGAGTATGTATATGCGGCCAGCCAAGTATCTGAGGCGATTCAGGAGCTCATCATAGAACAACGTCTTCCAAACCACTGCATTCGCATTCAAATTGAAATGTGTCAACTCAAGCACGTTGCTCCTACTGACTCTTGCTCTTTATCCTCCCAACAACAATCGCCGCCTTCAACACCCGCGTCCGATCAAACCACTCATATATCCTCCCCACCATCGTATACCCCGACAACGAGATACCGTACGGACTCAAAGCAGCATCTTGCCTCCTCAAGTGGCCCGCCAACCCGCCAAAAACATGATCTGAAATGTCCCGAATCTCAACGCACGCCCTGTCGTAGCCACACTCGACAAGCTGATCCCGGTACTGCTCCTCGGTCAAAAACGTGCGCCAAGGACACAGCAGGATAAACCCCAGTGTTCTAACGGCCAGGGTTTGCCACGTAGACGCCGCGTCGCCGAGGATCAAGTCAAAAGCCATGACGTTTGCGTTGAGCGTCTGAGAAGCACGCCTGAAGATGGGCCTCCTCGACGGCGAAAAGTGATACAGGCAGTCCAAGCCCATGAGCCAGCGCTCACGAAAAGTCTCGTCGGCCAACCCGTCGACGGAGGCGCACACGGCGCTGCTCCAGGACTCGGGCTTGGCCGCGTCTGCCTGGAACAGCTTGAAGGAGCTTGGGGGGAGTCCGAGTGCGCTGCCGTCTCCTTCTTGGATGGCGAGTGCGGCGTCGAGTCGTTGCTGGGCTGCTTGGAGCTGCGCGGCGTTCAAGGTGAGTCCGACGTAGCGAAACCGAGGCCGGGATGAAGCCTGGATAAGCTCGGCGAGGGCGACGGTCTGGTCGCCACATCCGAAGCCGACGTCTAGGACGGCGACTGAGTGGTGCGATTTCGCGGCGGAGGTGAGGCCCGCGGCTTGTAAGAGCTTGTCGAGCATGGTGCGCGCAGCCTCGTCAAAGTGGTGGATGGGTTTGCCGTCATCTCGAGTCCTTGGCAGATTGAATGTCAGGAATTAGCTTTTCAAGGGATTCATGTTGGTCTATGAAGGGAAATCAATAAATATTCACCAGAAGCCCAGGTTCATCCACATGGATGGGAGTGGCGTCCTCACGTTGAGTTTCCAGTGACCCAGGCCGTAAATGTCGGCGGTGCGAGTGAAGGAAAAGGCCGCGAGGGCCAGCAGGACAATAATGGTCAGACATCCGGCGATGAAACCAACGATGAAGTCGCTGGCGGAGGACGATGGCCAGGACATTTGAGCGGCTTAGACGGTTGAGATGTTGATTGCATGAGTCTGTACAGACTTGAAAACTTGCAGTGCTACAGCCTGGTATTATAGGGAGTTTGGCGGGGTCAGGCGCATGGGATATTACAACTACAACGGCCGCGTAGCTGCAAGGTATTTTGACTTTTGATTCTTCCCGTCTCACGACTTGGACAGTTGAAGCATCCAATGAGCAGCTAAACTCAATCACCATCACAGGAGTTGTGACTTGTCATCCTGCAGCCACCGCACTAGAAGCCTTCGAATCAAGCCACCCGCCGCGATGCAAAGGATGTCTCGAATCTTGAATCATCACCTCGCTCTCACTCTATTTTTGACTACCTAGACATTTAGATTCAAGCTCCGGCTCCAGTGGGTTTCACACAGCACGTGCCAACTCCATTTTACCTCTTTAGTAGCCCGTACGACAAAATAAACAACAAGAGGCAAAAAATAAAAGAAAAATTAGTGTCTCAAGGGTCGGCCTTGTGCGGTCCGGCGGGGAGTCTGAAACGCCCTGGCCGGCCCAATCAGATGAGGCGGTTTGCAGCTTTTTGTTGGGGGTCCATCCCATGCAAATGCCCGTTAATTTTCTGCCGAGATGCTGCGATTCTTTGTAAATACTGCAGCCAAGCGCATGCATGTGAATCCGGCTCGTTCGTGCTTACCTCATATTCGGGTTTACATCTGCGGGTGCTGTTTTTTTGATATTACGAGACAAACGACCTCATGTCGTGTGCATGTACATATACCTTCTAACGCATCTAGTAGACGATAGCCAGCTGGGTAGCCGTTCCGACTTCATCTCGCCTGGATCAGAGGAAGAGCCCATCATCGAAAAAGACAAGAGACAAAGGTGTAACCAAGACATGCAGCGGCGGCAGACAAACGGCGAGAGCAAGTCTCGAGTCGCCATCGTCGGCACTGGACTGGCGGGCCTGACGACGGCGTATCTGCTGCACAACGACAAGCACAGGCGCTACGAGGTGACGCTCTTTGAACAGGTGAGTGGTGATGTTTAACGGTCTTGAGCTGTCCATCTCATCTCATCACAATGTCAGGCTCCCAGGTTCTCGCTCGATGCCGCCTCCGTCACCGTCAAGAATGACAAGACGGGCGCCCTCGAGCGCATCGACATCCCCCCTCGCAGCTTCTGCAGAGGCTACTATGGCAACCTGTGCCGCATGTACGACCATCTCGGCGTGCCCTTTCAGCGAGTCCAGCTCGTCTGGGTCTTTGCCAAAGTCTCCGCCGCCACGCAGACCCAGATCCCCAGCCGGGACGCCGCCGAGACGATGCCCGGCAGCTACTTTGTCTACGGCAAGCGGCTGCACGAGGCGCTGCTCGTCTCGCCGCATTTCTGGCGCGGGTCGCTGCAAAACATCCTGCAGACGTTTTACCTGGCCGTTTGCCACATCTGGTTCTTTGCTGCTTGTTTCTTGCTGAGGCCGCTGACGATTAAGCCCGAGGCGTATCTGGATGTGAAGTCGGGCTCCAAGGATGTTGCCAGTTGCGAGTCGTTCCGGCAGTACCTCGATCGAGTCCGGCTGCCGCAGAACTACGTGCTGTATTACCTGCTGCCTGTGCTGAGCATCATCTGCAGCTGTTCTCACGCCGAGATGCTGGATTTCCCGGCCAGTGATGTGACGGAATTCATGAAGGGGTCGTTTTTGCGAAAGACGTATGTTGCCAGCGGCGGAATCAACCGAGTTCAGGCGACACTGGCTGAAGGAATCGAAGACGTCCGGCTGGAAACCAGAGTTACAAAGGTGGACCGAGTCGATGGAGGAGTCTTGATCCGCCATGAAGGCACACAAGACGCCACACGCTCTACTTGCGAGGAGACATTTGATCACGTAGTGCTCGCCGTGTCGCCAAATGTGGCAGCCGCCATCTTTAACCCGTCCAAGCCCATGCTGAGCGTCATCCCCACGGTTCCCGTCACAAGCACAGTCGTTGCTCCTCCGTCTTCGGGATTGTCTATTGTGCAGGAGCAGACTCATATCCCGTCTGGACAGTGCTCATACCGCCGCGGCGACGCTCAAATCATGGCCTTTAGGACGACCTTTTCCGAGAGCGTCGTCCAGACCGAGTCATTGCACTATCTGTCTGACGGACTCGTCGTCAGGACGAGCCCTGTTGGAGATGCGCCCGAGTTGAAGGGCGCGCTGGACACGTCGAGGTTTACGCGGACGCTGCGCACCACGGAAAGCAGAGCCATGGTGCAGAGAGTCATGGGGACGGGCAAATCGGATCCTGCAGAGACGGGGGTGTGGGTGAATGGAAGGGATAACGTGTGGATTGTGGGATCTTGGTGCTGGGACGGCATGGTGCTGCTGGAGGGATGTATCATGTCGGCAATGAGGGTGGCACGAGATCTTGGCGTGGCTGTCCCGTGGCAGCAGTAGATGTTTCTCTCTTCGGTTTGTTGTTGGCTGTTTGTACCTGTTTGCATGGAGATACCTCTGAGTTTTTGCTGTTCAACCTTGTTGATGGAAATGGAGTGAGCGGACTGACGATCTGAAGCGTTTTTGTTGTGCTCTTGTTATTCCAGATCAGTTCCGTCATGTTTTATACGACCTCTTGTGCAAGGTGTCTTTATAGTTGCCCAAGTCGGACTTGAAGAATGCATTGCTGGTGATGTTGTTGTACCGCTATGAATGCTTTCAATGTTGAGCAGCTCAACCATCTTCAACACCGTCTCCAACTGTGAACCATGTTTCTGCTCACTGGATACTACATATCATGTCAAGATACTAATTGAGACGGATCATGGCGGTGATCACACTTTGCACCACTATTCGAGACCTATCACTTAATCATATAACCCGATCTCAGCTTAGGATTCTGCTAGCTTCAACAAGCGTCTGCGAATTACACCTTTATGAGGGAAGCTGGGACAAATTACACTTGTGTTTCAATCTTGTGAATCCAATATCGCCAATTGCGCCAATATCTGTCTTGCTGATTAAGTGTGTCTCTCTTACCCTGATAGTGAGGGAACAACAGTAGTGAAACCATTCTTCTAATCACATTATAATTCCAAGTTTAATAGATTCGAGGTGATGCTATATATGTTACAAACCGTCTTCATATGCAACCTCCACAGTTTGAATCTGCAGTATCACGAAGTATATACCCTCTCAAAGAGTACAAAATGAGCCCAGCGCGGCCAGCAAGCAGATCACATCATTCGTATCGCCGAGGCCAACGGCCGAAGTGATGACTCGGCATAATAGTTCCCTCGATGGCGGTGAATTGAGTTTATGTTGGCTGCCGCCTTTTTACATTTGTTGTGGAATGGCCGAGTGGCTGGTATGAGGAGGAATGCATGTATGTAGTTGGGTGAACAGTCTCGGCTCAGATACTCGGAATAATGGCCCAAGGCGAAAAAAACATATAACACGTCAGTGGTAACACATACTGTCTATTCTAGAGTGTTGAAACCAATTATTTTCCCAATTTCGATGGATCTAGGGTAGGTAAGTATGCAGCTTGTCGCCAAGATGTTCCAGCCTTGATACCGGCACATCTTCGGATACCACAACCGAACACAAAAATAAAACAAACCAGCGGCAAAATAGGTGGCGTCTTGCTCCGTCCCTTCCCTCAGGCACAGCCCCCCCTTGTCTTGTCTTTTTCCAATGGAATCCTTTTTAGCTGCCAAGCTGCGTCAAAATCCCTTGAAAAGCAGCATTTGCTGTTTTCTGCCCGCCTTTGCCAAGCCCCCACCGCCTCGCATTGGTAGGTACATGCAGTTCGTACAGTAGCGCCTTGGTGATGGGTAACCATGACGCCTTTGACTTTTTCTTGGGGCTTCGGAGGGATTACAGTAGTACAAGTCACGGCTCAGCTCAGCTCATGCACCAACTACTACTTGATTGACTGATGTCGGCATTAGATTAGGCAGACATGGGGATACATGGGTGATGGGGGGATCCATTGCTCTGCGTCAAAGTTCCGCCCGCATAAAGAGGCTCAGACTCGGGCTCACGATACAGCAGCAAACAATGGAGAACAAAGGCGGAAGAAGAGAGAGAGGGGGCGCTGTAAAACGGATCGACGGAGCAACGGTAGGTACATACATGCACTCATGCAAACGCAACGCAACATTCTCGTGTGGAGCAAGCAGAAAAGAGCCAAGAAGCCATCAGCCGTTTCGACGGACTTTGTCACAGCCTTTTTCTTTTTTCTTTTTTTCTCTTCTTCTTTAGGCTTGGCGACATCAGTCCATCCCCCGATGATTTGCTCCTTGGCCCGCCACCCGGTGCGCGGAAATCATGATTTGCGGCCGGTGCTACGTAATTCTGTAACCACAACGTTCTGGGCGGCCTCGAGCTAGCCTTTTTTTTCTTTCTTTTTGCCCATTTTCTCTCTTTTCTTCTTCTTTTTCTTTACGGATACTCTTTTTACTCCTGGCCCGACTATGTGGGCGGGCAAGGCGGGGTGGAGATCATTTCTATGTAACGGTGTGTGTGATGGCTGGATCGTCATGAGGCAAATCGGGCAATGCGATGCGATTGCGATTGCGATTGCGATGAATTACGGCGTAAGCATGACAATAGCACCATGATATGTGAATGGCTTCAGCACATGCTAAGCAGGCTGCAAAGGCCACGCACTGGTCATATTACGGTGGCACTTGAAGCACAAACGTACGAGTACAAGGTGGATATTCTTGGTATTCTCTATCATTACAACTGTGCTGCGGGTTTGTCTGTCCCCCCGCTTTCCGCTATAGGATAGAATGCTTCATGATCCCTATAGATTTCCCAATCCAATGACGCCGAGCTGGTAGCCAAAAGCCGAACATGTATACCTCCCCCATGGTGTGCCATCCCGTGCCGTTTCGTATTCGTTGGTCCTCCCGAGAACCGCTGAGGGAAAAAAAAAAGACAAAATAAACTGTAAACTGCCAAAAAAAAAAAGACAATCGTCCAAAATCGAGCGGGCAAAGCATCGCCGGCGTATTCCTGTGCGCCCCCCTCATCGCATGCCCATGGTGTAAGTCGAACAAAGAAATAGTTGACAAGAAAAAAACACTAAGCGGGTATCTTTCTCTAAGAAAGGGTTAAGTAATGCCGAGTACTACTGGTGGAAATAGTAGTAGAATTAAGTGTAAAAAAACGCGAGTAGGTTGATGAATGCGGAGCGGATTTTTAGAGACAGTGTGGCGGAGAATGCGAGGGAGAGAAAGCTAAAGTGAAGTGACAGGCGGGGTATGTAATGATGCCCGTCACTTTTTCCAACCAAGATGTGCTCGTAAGCAGGTTGTCGCTTTACACCATGGATTGGCTGATGCTGGGCTTCCTCCCCCTCGTCGGTGACCAGCTGCTCCGGGAGGCCACGCGGCCAAAGGGGAAGAGGCGGCATCTTCGGCGATACGACCGCTTCGACGTGGTGTAAAAGTAGGCGCAGAGAAAGAAGACGGTCAGGGCCACAAACAGCAGGCCCAGGTAGAACGTATAGTGCTCGCCAATGGTCAGGAACAGGGCGGCGTCCCAGCCGTGCCAGCTGCTGGCGCCGCCGTGGACAAAGATGGGCGTCGTGACCTTGCCCCGGAGCATGTGAGGCGCCATATCGCCGTGCTCGTCGGACAGGATGTAGACGGGGCGGCTCAGGCGGCCGGCCATGAGGTGGCGGACGTACGACATCCACTGGTTGGAGTAGAACATGCAGCCGGTGCTGAGCATGTTCTCGACGTACGGGATGCGCATCGGCAGCGCCCAGTGCAGGTCGTGGCTGGGCACGTTCTCCAGCAGCTGCGTCAGGAACGGGTGGCCGGGCTCGGTCGCGATAAAGGCATTGTTGACGCCGGCCGGGTGGGCGCCGGGAGAGACGTACGGCAGGCGGACAATGGGCGTCGAGTCGAGAGGCACGCGACAGGTGACGTCGAGGTCGACGTAGATGCCGCCCGAGTGGTGCAGCAGGGCATAGCGCAGGATGTTGGCGCGCTGGATGTTTTGGGCGTAGCCGGCGTAGTGAGGCAGGATGTCGGGGTAGAACTCGGCGATGAAGGCCGTGGCATTGACGTCGGTCCACAGCTGGTGCTGCCAGCCGGGGTGCATCTCGGTGCAGCTGGCGATGGCGGCCTGGTACTTGGAGACGCTGGCGTTGCCCAGGGCGATCTGGTGGATGATTTTGGGCACGACGACGGGGCCGAGAGACGAATACTCGGATCCAGACCCGGGCTCGGTGGACGAGGCGTTGTCCGGGTGTCGATACAGGATGTCGGGGTGGTTATGCAGCAGCGGGTAGAAGGTGCTGTACGTCAGCACGATTTCGCCCAGCTCGTGGATGTGCCGGCGAAACAGCACGGTGAACCAGAAGACGGCGATGGCCGTGAGGGCCACGATGTTTCGGGCTCGCATCGTGATGGCGAGACGGAGGTTTCCCAGAGACCAAGTTGGGAATCAAGAGCGGACGAGAAGATGAGAAGAGAATAGAATAGAGCAGAACAAAGTAAAGTAGATGCGGAGACAAAGAGGGAGGCAATGGCGGAGGGAAAAAAAAAGATGAGATGCAGTACGCAAGGATGAGACAAGATAGATAAGAGAAGTGAGCGGATCGCAATGCGGCAACGCAGATCCCCGACCGAGCTGAGCTTCCCTATTCCCCTTTAATCCTCGGTTCCAAGGCAAGCCAAGCCAAGCCAACTCCTTGTTTGATCCGTCTCTCCTATAGTGGCCCTCTCTATCCTTTTTTTTCTTTCTTTGTCAATCAAATCGTATACTCGTATGTAAGGATGCTTTGTTAGTGTGAGAGTGATGTGGTGATGAGATTTGGTGGCCCGCCAGGTTGTTGCAGAGCTTCGGGCCGGGCAAGCGAGGCGCAGGTCAAGAGAAATAGCATTTTCGGCGTCTTCAAAGTGCTAAGCATTTTACCTATTATAATTATAATTATGGGACTTGGCCACCACCCCCCCTTTTTTTCTGTCGTGGAATCACAGAGTTCGAACGGAACGCCTTCACACGTAATTCAGGTAGCTGGTGGCTTGTGTCCAAGACGGAAAAAAAAATGTCTGTCCATCCCTTGTTCGTGCTCCTTGCCGAACGTTGCTAGCGGGTATCGCATACCAGCGGGCCATGGGCTGTCTGGCCGCAATCGAACCCCCGACTGCAAGTACCGTCTACCTTTACCTTGCGCGCGCGCCTGGAACTGCGGCAGTCCGTAGCTCTGCGACACCTCGGACCCGGCAAATGAAAAAAAGGAAAAAGGGAAAAGAGGCGGACTCGGGGCTAGGCAAGCTTCCTTGGCGTTGGCTCACGATTTGGATGACGCTGCCCGTCAGATGCAAAAGCGCTGGAAAGGGCCTGGCGCGGCGGCTTCACGGCAGCGCCATCAAGGCCCTACTCGCTACTCCAGCCAACTGCGGCTGCAGGGTGACGGGGATAGAGACGCCGGTGATTGGGCGCGAATCCATGGGCGGATCGACCGTCGTCGTTGGCCCCTGTTCAAGTGCTGAGCCCAGCCCTGGGCAACCTTGCTTGGCGGCGCTCAAGGCTCCATGAGTTCCGGCCTGTGCTAGTACTGTACGAGTATTCTCCATTTGCCTATTCGCCAAGGAGTGCCGGAGGGAGGATGGGCCAAGGTGCTCCGATGCCCATCGATCCATCGTCTACACACTAGGTAGGTAGGCCGGGCTTCGGGGTGCCTCCTTGGCCCGATGGACGCGAATAGGGTTGGGACGGAGAGCAGCTGCCATGGCACGAGGCACGGGGGCTGGACTTTGGCCAAGTCCGACTATCACGGAGGTTCTGGTTCTGGTTCTCGTTCTGGTCCTTGAGGAAGCCACGGAGAGTTGAACAACGGGCAACAAACGAGAACGACGAGGAAAAGTACAGAAAACGGACTTGTCCGTGTCCACGACATGGTATGATTCCACTAGCACTCCGTAGTATTGCACGAGTATTAGGAGACCTTCCGCTTATATCAGCGGATCATCGGCGACAAACTTGCTACAGTCCATCGCGGTCCAGACAACAAAAATAGCCTGCTTATCTATCCGGACGTTGAAATCCAAAGTATAGCAATACAGAACACGCGGACTCCCAGATACGCGTTGAGGGATAACTTTCAACGGCCCTGAGCACGGATCCGAGGTATCCAGCCCCGATTCATTCTAGAAGAGTCCAGTCCGCGCAAAGGGCCCAGCAGGCCGGTCTGTGGGAATCAAGTTTAGAGTTGCCTCGGCCGGGCAGCTCCGCACCAAGGTGGCATCAGGCCATGTGCCTTGAACCTCATGGCCAGACCTGAATTACGGAGTCTGCGGCTCGAATCGAGAGCCAAGTCGCCGTTGATAATCAATCAATCGAAAAAGTACCGAGTACAAAATAATACAGTATCCTCGCCGTCACGTGAGCTGCTATTTGCACGGCGCTGATGAGCTAAGCTTCCCAAGAGTGCCGGGTTACGTCATTTCTAGATCGCCGAGTCCGCTGCAATTGGCGCTACGGTAACGCTACAACTCCGCGCCGGTGCTCCGTGCTATTTCCCTTACCTGTTCAATGTTCTTTTTCCCTTCGTGGCACGTGACCCCCTTCTCCCGGTGTCTTCGCTGGCCATCACAAGCAAATGCTGCAAAAAAGCTTCCTTCAAGATGCTGGTTCCTGTCGATTTACGCATTGATGTTTGCAGCTGCCGAGTCGCCCGTGACAGCAGCTGAATCTCGACGGCCTTGAAGAGCAACAAAATCCACGATGACGTCGTGCCTCAGCTGGCTGCAGGCGCCGCGGTTCAGGAGAAGCACAACCATCCTGTCCGCGCTGATTGTCACCATCGTCACCATCGTGCTGCTGGCCAATCCTGCGTCGGACCTGAAAGCCATTGGGCATTCGAAGCCGTCGTCCGAGGCGTCGGGGACCGGATACCCCCGCTGCAGCGACCGCACAGACGCCAACATCACCTGGCCGTTGGAATCATGGCGGGAGGCGGCCGAAACCAAGTTTGGCGGGCTGATGGATGACAAGTTTACGTATGTGCAGGGTTGATGTTCTGTAGCTTTGAATGTCGGATGGTGCTAATGATGAGACGTGCAGGATTGCCATGTCAACGTTTCATCGCCCGCGGGAGCTCCATCGCACCCTCAAGACTCTTCTCTCCACAAAGATACCGTCGCTGCACGAAATCGTCGTCATTTGGAACAACTTTGATGAAAAGGAGCCCGACAGCTTCGTCTCCGAGTACGGCGTCGTTGTGCGGTACCGTAAGCCAACCCGCGATAGTCTAAACGAGAAGCTTTGGCCCGATCCCAAATACAAGACCAAGGCCATTCTCCTTTCCGATGACGACGTCTACTACCGGCCCGACGATCTCGAATTTGTTTTCCAGATGTGGCGCAACTTTGGCAGGGATAGAATGACTGGCGCTCTCGCGCGCTGCGCTTCGGCTCTTCCCTCTGGCCAATGGGACTACAACTTTTGCTCCCAAAAGGAACACCATGATGTCTATGCCCTGATCTTGACCAATTTGGCATTCACGCACATTGCATTTCTCGACTATTACTTTTCCGATGACCCTGCCGCCACCAAGATCCGCAGTTATGTCGACGAGGCCTTCAACTGCGAGGACATTGGCCTCAACTTTGTTGCCTCAATGTTGACTGGCTCAGGGCCTCTTTTGGTCCGCGCGAGCGGTCAGTACGTCAACCTGGACCCTTCAGGTGGCATCAGCAGACAATCAGGCCATATGGAAGCGCGCAGCAAGTGTCTCAATGTTTTTGCCGACGCCTTTGGGTGCATGCCGCTGGTCGACGAGGTAGGACGGATAGAGCACGGGGTAAAGCACAATGTATGGTACAAATCCGTGTGGAACCGGATTTTCGGATAGACATCTGCTCGGGAAGCAGCGTATAAGATTTTCACGTAATATTAATGATAATGAAACCGATACACATGTATATGTACATGACAAACGACACGCCCCCGAGGGGGGCCTCAAATCATTAGACTAGACGAGGAACATAACGCAAAAGGCAACATGAGAGAAAACGAAAACAACAGCACCTCACCGAAGGTGTGGTATGATTTTCGACTGGAAAAAAGAAACAAGCCGCCATATCAAATTCGTCGCAATTCAATCACTTAGTCCATATCACTGTGGGCGTATATTGTTAGCGATGTCCGGTACATCACGAGGAAAAGTCATGGAGGAACAATCTCTTACAGTAAAGCCAGTGTCAAGTCTCCGTGGATCTTTGCCTTCAACTCAATCTGGATGTCTAGATTCAGGTCGAGCCGCAGCTTGAGCGGGTTCTTCCCGTCCTCCTTCTTCTGCGGCTGCTGCATCTGCTGCTGCTGCATCTGCTGCTGCTGCATCTGCTGCTGTTGATACATCTGCTGCTGCTGCTGCGGCTGATACATTTGCTGCTGCTGCTGCTGCTGGTCGCGCTGCTGGTGAGGCACCATGGACTGGCCTCTCTCGTCGTCGTCGTCTTCTACTTGGCGCTGGAAGGGGGCCCTTCTCCTCCGGCGAGACTGGGGCTTGGTCTCGGTTTGGGCCTTTTCGCGGTTACCGCTTGACCGGCGGCGGCGTTGTTCTTGCTGGGGGGGTGTCTTTGGCTCGTTGTCCTCTTGGTCGTCGGAGTTGTCTTCGCTCAGCTCGCCTACTTTGCCGTTTTGCTGTCCGTTTTGCTGTCCGTTTTGCTGTCCGTTTTGCTGCTGTTGCTCCGGCTCCGATGCGTTGTCGGAGTCGCCGCCGGCATCTTCTTCGTTGTCTTCCTGTTGCTGTTGCTGTTGAGGCTCCGGCTCTTGACGCTCGGGCTCCTGTTGCTGACGCTCGGGCTCCTGTTGCTGTTGCGGCTCTTCTCTAGTCGGGGAGCTAGTGTCCAGATCTTGGGGTTTCTGAAGATTGTTAGTTTGATATGGGCTCTTTACTGCTATGCACGGACTGTGTGCGTTGTCTGGAAAAACCAACCTCATCTGAAGACATTGTGGGTGGATTTTATAAGTCTTGTGTTATGAACAGATAGTGTATAAGTCAGGAGAGTAAAGGGCAAACAGCAAACAAGTCGGGACTTTTGTTCAGTTGGGGATTTGGGAAACGCGAGATATTGTCTTCTTGGAGTTATTCAACTCTTTCTGTATGTCGAAATGAGGCGTAGGTCCGCGACGGCTGGCTTTTGTGGCTCAAGAGCAACATTTGGATCAAGGTCCCACCTCCAGATTTGTCTTGATATTGAGTGACGCAACGGCGATGTGTCTCAATCCCCTTTGTCGAAGCTAAAAAGAAAAAACAATAAAACCTGGACAAGATAGTCCAAGGAGTTGCATAGCTTCAAGTTCTTACACTCCCCCCCTGTCATTTTGGTGGCGCCCATGACGTGCCAACTTTATGATCACGCACATCCAAAAATCTGGGAAACAAAGGGCTGTGTTAACAAGTCCCCAAGACTCACGCCATGGGCGTCAATTCATGCTTGGTGAAGTCATCGGATGGGATTATCCTGTAACTGTGACAGGGATGGAGCCTCTAGCCCCCCACAGTTACGCCGCGGGATCTCGATCGCCTCATGCAAGGCCCTCTCACGGGATATGGGGTCATATGGAACCAAGCATTATACGGGGATACAACATGGGAGACGAAACTCACACGGCCCGTCCATAATAAAACGTCATTCTACGGGAGTCCCCCGGGGATATTGTTTGTTTCATGCTGAAGCTACTCGGCCGACTTACAACAATGGTCATTGGGCTTCTTGCCATCACGGCGATTCCCACCGTCACGGGTGTGGGCCAAGCCATCAGCGCTCAGAAGAAAGCCAACGCAGCGAATAAGGAAAAGGAAAAGTTTCGCCTGACGGCAGTTGTCGAGGAAGGGGATGAAGACGAAGACTACGAGACGGATTTCTGTGTGCTGAAAGACGGAAAGGTAGGGACCACGCAGGACAGACAGGTTCCGGCTTTCCCCCCTTGGCGGCTGACGGCATGGCTGACGAAGAACCAACCAGTTGAATGTCAACATCCCGCTGGATACCGAGTTTCCTGGGTACGCCTTTTGCGGCTACTACTTCACGTACCCCAGCGAGGAGCAGCACCTGGGGTTAGTGAGCACCATCTCTGACGATCCGCCGATGCTCAACTGGATGTACATCAACAAGGACACGCACGCGGTGGAGTATGGCGGACGCAAAGATACCCTGGGCCACGTCATTGGGCCCTGGGGATGGAGCGAGGACGAGTCCTTCTTGACCGTGCAAGGCAAGGACGAGTGCTTTGTGGCGAAGCTGGAGCGAGACGACAACGGGAGGTCGCGGTGGGTGGTGTACTGGGATCCGGACAGCGAAATACTAGCCACGAGTGAGGTGGAGGAGTGCAAGCCGCTGAGGCTGAGGAGGAGGCTTTTGCTGGGCATGGACAGCAAGTATGTGAGAGACTAAGAATACTAGGACGAAATTAATGAACTAAAAAAAAAAAGTGAAAAAAAGCAAAAAGAGCCGGAGTGTGTTCCTTGATGGATAACGTGTGGAACAGGGGTTGGGCTTTGCTTCATCTCGATGAGGTGGCTGCTGAGTGTTGAAGCGTCGGGGCCGTCGTCTCGGGAAAAACGGCCGAGAGTCCCATAATAACTAGCAGGATGCTAATCCATGTTCCGTAATATGGGATAAGGGTCATGCAGGAGGGAATCAGCCACGAGCGATTGCCTCATGATGACTTCATAGGGGTAATGTAGAGGTGAGGCGTGTGTAAATGAAAAACAAATTAAGAAAGAAATGGATATGATGGAGATAATCAGGGTTGAAGATGGGAAAACTGGGCGAGGCTGACGATCGGGGGGGGGGGGGGGGGGGGGGGGGG